CGCAAGGCGCGGGGAGGGTCATATGGGGAGAGGCGGTCCCTAAGATAGTGATGAAGTGAAGCAAAGCTGTTTCGCGATAAAAGCAACTTCTCTTCCCTTTTCTTCCTACAGCTCTCCTTTGTGGCGTCTCAATTCCTTCCCCAGTTTGGAGCACTGGAAGCATCATGCTCATCCACTTTGAGAGTGATGAGGAGAATAACTTCAGAGGATTTAAGGCCAAATTTGCCTTTTTCCCTTCAGGTTGGCCAAGTCATGCTGTCTTTGAGTGTATTTGTAATGCAATTTTGTGTATGTGTGTGTGTGCCTTCAAGTTGCCTGTTGATGTATGGTGATGCCATGAATTTCATAGGGTTTTCTTAGGCAAGTAATACTCAGTTGGTTTTGCCAGTTCCTTCTGAAATATAGCCTACAGCACTTTGGTATTCAGTGGTAGTCTCCCGTCCAAGTACCAACTAGGGCTGACCCTGCTTAGCTTCCAAGATTAGACAAGATCTGGTGCCTTTTAGGGTATGTAGGCTTCTTACAGCAGTTTATCAACACATGTTATGGCTCTATCCTATAGAATTATGGGATTTGTCATTTTCTTAGGCACCTAAATATTCTGAAGGTAGGAGATCCTGTGTGATCTTGGAAGCAAAGCAGGGTTGGGCCTGGTTGGTACTTGGAAATGAATCCACCAGGGAATACCAGGTGTGTAGGCTGTATTTGAGAGGTAGTGTGGTGTAGAAGTTTGAGCATCTGACTATGATTCTGGAGACCAGAGTTCAAATCACTGCTCATCCATGGAAACCCACTGGATGACCTTGGGCACATCACACTCTCTCAGCTTCAGAGGAAGGCAAGGGCAAAGACCCCTTAGAACAAATTCTACCAAGAAAACCTCATAACAGGGTCACTTTAGTGTTGCCATAAGTTGGAAACTGCTTGAAGGCACACAACAAGGAGGATATATTTAGAGGAAGGAAATGGCAAACCATTTCGGGGTATTCCCTGCTTAAGAAAACACTATGAAATTCATGGGGCACCATAAGCTGATGCTCAACTTGAAGGCATATGCTTTACTTTTAGACAGAGTCTGCTATAGAGTTCTAATTTTGTAGAGAAACCTGGGATGCATCTCTCTGGTCTTATGGTGTAATTGTTTCAGATGGTAAAATAACATGCAGTGATCCAGTCTCCTCCCCACACTGCTATACTGCCATTCTCAGGAAAAACAAATGGAAAGGAAGGGCGAGGAGGGGGAAAAGATTGTCTCACTGGACACTGAATATGAACTTTATTTATTCCTTGCAGAATCACCTAAAACTGAATTTTCAGGACGCATTATCTTGCAAACATCTGATCCAAAGACTATTCCACTGGGTAAGCATGGCTGTGAAATAGTAATACTTCTAGGAATAGTAACAGTTCTTGTACCAGTGGACTGGCAATGTGAATACTAAACAAATACAGGCATGTTTGAATCAAAAACATCTCTTTACTCCACTGGTAAATGGTTCTAGAGAAGCTGAAATGCCGTTTGATATATACAGTGAGCCCATGGTATCCGTTAATGGTAAAACAAAGGCTTCCTTTTTGGAATGTATATATTTTTAAAATATTTTCAAGCTGTGGATGGTTGAATCTGTGGATATGGAGGGCTGACTGTAGATATGTTGAAATACTTTATGTACTTTTCAGGTATGGCATACATCATTGGAGAAAGCAATATAATTTAATTTTGGAAGGCAATACAATTAGCAGAGGTTGGAAACATTACCTTTTGGACTACAGCTCCCAGAATCCCCCCCATTTCAGCTGGCTAGGTTTTTTTTTTAGACACTACAATCCTCCAAAGTAACATTCCCAAGCTCTGATTATTAGTTTTAGGTAAGAGATGGTAGAGATAGATGTGGAGGTTGTTGGGCATGCATATGTGTGTGCAGGGCAATTGTAATAAGCTAAGTTTCACATTGTACTAACAGTTGTGATGACTCTAACCAGGTTTGCCCTGCTTCTCACTTCACAGTGAGGCTCACAAAAAGCTAATCTAAATGTTTTAAGCCTACAGTCCTGTTTCAGAGTGGGGTAGCCAAGCTCCATCTTGCTATTGCAGCATAAGCTTTACCTCAGAAATGTGAAACCAGAGATATCCCTTTAAGGTTTGAACTCTTCTTGTCTTGCAGATGTTTGTGGTTTTCCCCCCTTTGGTCCGCAGTGGCTGTCCACAAGCATTGTTGGCGGAGAAGAAGCTTGTCCCCACTGCTGGCCGTGGCATGTAGGTTTGCGTTTTCTGGGTGACTACCAGTGTGGGGGTGTCATCCTTGCCTCCATGTGGGTGCTCACCGCAGCTCACTGTGTAGAGATGTAAGTTGATCAGTCTGGCAAAATGCTGTTGTTGTCACTTAGGCTCACACGATACTTAAATGTAATGGATAGAGTTGATGAGTATAGATCTTGGAGAGGACTGAGATCAAATTCTTGGAAGGCTATCAAACATTCTTGGAGACCTGTATGATTTAATATGCTCCAGAACTTGGAAATGTTGATCTTGGATTGCAAACCCCAGAGTCCTTCATCAGCACC